TCTATGGATACCTACAATTTTTATTAAGTGACAACGGAACAAATTTTACATCCCATGTGATCCTGAGGTTGAATAAAAATGAAACATAAGGAGGCATGTCAGTACTCTACCAGCCAGCAACAAATGGACTGGTAGAACGAGTAAATGGAACAATTGGCTGCAACGCTGAGGAAGCTGGTATCTGGAAAAGCTTCCACTTGGGGAACCTACATCAGTTCAGTGACATATGCATACAACACCAGTCACCATATGTCAATGGTAAAAATGCCATTTTAATTTTTGTAGGGAAGAATAGCCGCTTTACTACTGATTCTATATCTGGTGGTCAAACCAACATCAGTGATGAGTGCCAAACAGTACTTACCCTGACTACATAATCCCTAAATGAATTGCAGTCACAAGCATTTGATACGACCTTGAAGAAAAAGATCATGGCCAAGTTGATGAACAATAAGAACCAACCTGCATTATCTGAATACCATGTAGCCGATAGGGTAGCCTATTGTGACATGCATTTCTTTGGAAGAAGAAATAAAACAGATGCGCTGTGGTTGGGCCTTTTTGAGATTATTGCCAAGCTGGTGGTGGATGCATATTCCATTAAGAACCTTGTGGATGGAATAATTGTTAACAGGTTCCATGCTAAGTACCTAAAGAATTTGATATAAGAAAAAAGAGTGTTCCTGACTGGCTGATATATTGAAATGGTTATGTCCTAACAATTTTTGGCTAAGTCCTAAAAACGGACCGCTGAACCAAAATAAATGGTTGTCTTAAAAAACATTTGAACCGTGAAAACTGGTAGGCCAGAGTATACTTAGGAACCAGTTTTAGGGAGAAATAAATTTAAAGATGGACCATTTAACTGTGTAAAGGTCATGACCGATATAAAAATAAGAAAATGAATAAAAAACTGATAAAATATGGAAAAAAAGAAGTACAAAAAAAATAAAAAAAAGTCAAATATTTTATAAATTTTTTATTCTTTATCCTTGATTCAGGATGATTCTGCCTATGCCACCTCTTAGGGGAGAGATGATAAATGTCAGTAGGTTTGAAAAAGCACTCAATAGCTATTTGAGATCAAATGTTAGCAGGGCTAAACCCAATTAAAGACAAGTTCATTTAGCAGAAGCTGATCCCTGAGGAATCATGATGAGGGGAAGAGAATAAAAATGTCAGTACTTGCCAAACACAATACTATAGATCATGGAGGAAAGCAACAGAAAATGAAGAGGCAGTCGGCAAATAACCCCAAAAAATCCCAATATAGCACTTGAGCCAGAGGATTAGTCGTGAGTGCTTGCTAACAAGCTTCATTAAGAACGTTGGACATGTGGTCTGGCATAGAGAAAGGGATACTGGACGGAGATTGCAAAATTATGCCCCTGATCAGATCCATGAGGAATGTATTAATGCGAAGCGCCATGAGACAAGTTAGTCATGCAAAGAGCTAATCTCATCCTGAAGGCGATATCTGCATGCTTCTTGAAACTAGAAGCAGAAAGAGCGATGGAAATTGGGGGAGGCCAGAAGCTTTATGGTCCAACTTTGAAAGGCTTGGCTGTGGAATGAAGAGAAAAAGCTGCAACAAATTGATGCAAGATGCTTGAGAGATTGGAGGCGTTCAGAGTCTCATCAAAGTCTTGGTTACTCGGTTCCTTAATTCTTTATATAAAATCTCAAAGTGTTCTCAATTCCAAATAGTTAGTTTGACCAAAAGAACAGCTAGTTTGTAATATTGGCCAAGCCAAAAAAAGAACTCTGAAAGCTAACTATATCTGGTACAAAATGACTGACTGATGTTGGAAACATTGATGTAATAGGCTCAATAATTATAATGGTATTATCTGACAAAGAAGCCAAATTTAGCAATGTATCAAAGTCCAAATTGGGAACAAATGGATAGAAGAATTAGCTGCAATTTGTTCAAGATGGTCGCTACCCTGTTTTCATTGGGATTGATTACCATTTCAAGTTAGTTCAGCAGAATGAATACCTACATGCACTTGACTTGGAGTATGGGTTCTGGGGGACCATAAAAGAGATTTTTTAGCAGTACAACTTATCAATTGGAAGAAACGAGCATCTTCAGCAGAAAGATTGTCAAGATATTGTTAGTACTGAGAGTTAGAATAGGGCATAAGAACTGGACAAGTTGGAATGTCAGACTTTTTAAAATGGTCAATATTATCCACTTTGTTGTTAATTAAGCTAATATATTATAATTTGGTGTAATTAATTTCTAAAATATGAAATAGGCTCTTAAGGAAATAAAAAAGTTTGAAAAAATGATATGAAAAAAGTTACTTTTTCTTCCCATTTAACATCTTTTTAAGCGATTTATGAAAAACAAGTTGATTTTCCAAGACTACCTCAACACAACAATTTCCAAATCTATGTCCTCATATCTACCAACTTCTACCCCAGTATGGGGCAGCGGTGCTCCACCCACTATCATTTACCGCCCAGAGGGCAAACGTGTGTGGACTGACTCATCCAGTTTACCAAATACATCCAATCGCTATGCCCCTCAAAGGGACCTAGCACTGCACCTCGCACAAGTCCACCCAACCCGCCCCCACCCCTAGCCCTGCCTCAATCAAATATTCACTTTTGCCTCCATGTCAAGTACATACATCTCTTCCTGTACACCAACAAAGCAATAATTGAGCTGGTAACGGCCTTCTTTGCACCAGCAGGGCTTATTGACTTCCGCCCTTATAAGGGCTATTTTGATATTGACTTTCCCACTGTAGAGGACGTGGCCGCTGCAGCAGCAACGCCCTTAATATACAAAAACACACTTATTACCACCACCTGTACCAGAATCCCCAATGATACCACACTTGTGGTGACCTTTGCAAACCTCCCTCACACCTTCCCCCTCAAACACTCTATGAGGAGTTGATGTCAGGGATGTCCACTTATGGCACAGATCCCATCCTCCAATTTATTGTCCCAAGTTGTGCTGAGAGTCTAGCAGCACCTTAGCAATTTCCACCATTACCCCCACCAGCTAAACATGTCCCAGCACATCCCACCGCATGCCTATATCCCATATGCACCTGACCATTTTTTTGGGCCTACAATGACAACAGTCACACAATTTGCACCCTCTGCTATGAATTGGACCTTATGAAAAAAGCACTTCAATATACTTCACACCCTGCAAACATGGTAAACTCCACCCACGAGGCCACACCAACAGCGTTTGAGTGGGGACATTTGCTGCCCCCACCCCCACAGGCCATGTTCTCTAATCAGAAAAATTAAGCACCTCAAACACAAGCTGACCAATTTACATCCATGCCAACCAACCAGGTGCAGGCTTGGACCAATTCTTAATCCAAAAACTCCTCCACCTCAAAATTACCCTTCAGCCACCTATCTCCAAATTAACCCAAATCAACCAAAATCCCTGGGACTTATTGGATGAAGTGATCAAATCTGGTGAAATTTTCCCACCTCCAGCTACACCAATCGATCTAGAACCTTTTATGAATTCAGACCTTGATGCCCCATTCCAGCCTAAAAATATGTCCCCAAACCCAATGCTATCCCAGATCAAAGCAAACACCAGCTTGCTGAGGCTGCAGTGGCCTCACTCAAAAATTGCTTTCTCCATGAAGCCATGACAAACTTTGTCAATGAATTTAAAAAAGGGCTGAACATCTCTTTGTTCCCCTCCAATTTTCCTCCTACTGCAAAAGAGGAATTCAACGCCTCTATGAAACTGTCACCACTGCTGTCAAACATGTTGTTGCTCTGGAAAAATTCTTCATCTGCACATACACCAGATCAAACATTGCAAAATTAGCCTCACTTCCTGATGCCCACATCCAAGCCAAACTTTTTTGCCAACTCATAGAATTCTTTATTAAGGCTCAATTTGACAATCTCAACAACTATCTATCTCACCTCGACCAACATCCTGTGGATGCCCCAACCCCCTTACTATCATCATTGATCCACTTTTTCAACGCTAATCCTGAGGATGAAGATTTCAATCCGCCTGATCCCCCCTTCCCTCTGCCATGGTGGGATAAGCAGCTCACCATTGTGCCACCTGGCGGGTGTTTTTTCACTACTTCTGTGTTTCCTGCTGCTTGTATAGGTCAGTCAGTTCATGTTTTTAGTTGGTTTAGTTTTTAAAAGTTTCAGTTTCAGTATTGTCTGTCCCATGGCCAGCTTGACTTGGTTAATATAAAATATATGAGCAAATAGTTATAAAGAGAAAAAAGAACAAGAGAAACTATATTTATTCATACTTATTTTTGACGTGTGTTGTGATTTTGATATGACTGGACAATAATCTTGGGACAGTCAGGCAGAATCTGCCAACATAGTATCAGTTACAAATATTCGAGTGCCTTAAGATGAGGCGATATTGGGATATAATGGGTCTTATTGGATATATGAGTTTACTGTATCGCCTTTATATAAGGCGATAAAGCAATGTTGATATTTGACAAATATGAAGTAAATCGCCTACAAAGAGGGCGTCTTTGGTGCTCACTACAGGGGGCTTCACTAATGGGCTGCTTGAGTAGTTGGAGGTTTTGGTTACAGAGCAGCAAATGCCACTGGTTGAGACCAGCGCTCCTTTGAGAGGGCGCTGGGAGGTCTTGACCCACCATTGGGGTGGGTCGTGAAGAAGGATATCATCTAGTTAAGGGGAGGGCAATGTTGGGATTTTAACCAGATGAATCCTTCCTATAGTATTCAAATTAGGGGTTTTGTTTAGTTGGGTTAATTACTAGCTAATCGCCTAGTTCAATACTATTTAATGTTATATGTTTTTTGAGTTTAGGTTTGACAGAAGCTGCATTCGCCACCAAAATGCCATCCAAAGGTTGTTGTGGGAGTTTCCAGTGGAAAGCTGATGAATCCATTATGACTCATCCAAAATGGTTCCGTTGTCCAATTCAGAGCATTGGCGACTCATGCTGAGGATGCTCAAAGTCTTATTTATATATGAATTTATATACAATTGACAAGGCTTCATAGCTAAGTGGTAAAGCGCTTAGTTGGGGAAGCTGGTGACCTGGGTTCGAAGCCCCATTGGGATCATGTACTTTTTAACTAAAAAAATATTATTGTTGTTTCTTGTACTAAAATTAAAATATTCTAAACTAATAAATCATAAAAATAGTGTTATTTGCCCCTATATACAATCGACCAGCGACTTATGCTGAGGATGTATTGACCTAATATAAATTCAGTGATCAGTGAGCAGATCTAAGAGGGAAATGCTATGAGTATGATTGAAGAAAGTAAATAACCTGATAAAGAGTTTGCAATCAAGTGACTGATGGGATTTCTGGCAGATGATTGGCCAAAGAGCACTTGGGTGCAGTAGCCCTGAATGTAGTCTAAATAGTTGTTCATTCCCTCTAAATAGACATCTCTCATTTGCCTATTTTTCCTATTTGTTTGAAGTAGCAAGAGCCACTATAGTGGGGAAGGTGAGATAGGAGAGCCCTGATAGGCGCAGGTGATCACACCTGGAGTGGCCAGCGTTGCCAGCACCCATACCTCCTCCTTATGAGGAACTAGTGGGAACCTGGCCAGCTGGCTACCAGTGGTGAGCTGCATAGCCATCAACCCTAGCAAGGTGCAGCGCAGGAGGTGCCATAGCCACCCAAGAAGGGAGATGGACTCGCTGGGGCATACCCAGATGGGTTGGTGAAGGGTTGCAAGGGTGGAGCAGCACAGAAGTGCCTGAGCTACCCAGGAAAGGGGGCAGGACTTGCCAGGGCACACGCCAAGGATGCCTGGGGCTAAAGGCAAGCCATTGGTAGTTAGTTGGTAGGTTGGACGGCGGACTTATAAGGGTTGGTATGCCAATGAAGGCAAAATAGCAAAGGGCCACCAGTCTTCATACTGGTTGGTCTGGCACACTAGTGAAGCCCAAGGTCAATTTTGTGACAACATGAGAAAGACATCAATGGTAGTAACCTCCTACTAAGGATGGGGAGGGAGATAAAAGCATCAAGGACACTGAACCAGGATCCTGAAAAACAATGAAGGGTTCTGTCAGAAAATTGCTCTTCCAGTGACAGTTGGCTCCACTAGTGTGCCAAGCCAAGCAGTATGATGACTGGTGGCCCTTTCTGATTTTCCTTCATAGGCGTACTAATTCCCACAAGTCCACATCCAACCTACCTACCCAGCAGACCAAAAAATTCGTCTTAGCACATTGGCTCCTCTTGGGAGTGCACCAGTGGTCCTCAGCCCCCTTCCTGGGCGGCCCAACCCTTTGCTTCTTCTCCCTTATGACCAATCTCCAGTACCTCTTGGGTGCGTCCTGGCAAGTCATAAACCATCTTGGGAGGCTATGGAAATCTCACACTGCACCACCCTAATGGCTGATGGGCATCAGCCCCTTGTCATTGGTAGCCAGTTGGCAGGTTCCTGAAGGTGGTTTCTTGCAGGGCTGAGGTATGGGAGCTGGCAGCGTCAGCCACTCCAGGCGCATCACCACACACCTGCCTCAGGGATCTCCAGTCCCATCTTCCATTAATCTAGCAGACCAACTATTAAATACTAACAAAAGATGGGCGAAAGAGAGATCTTTATTAGGAGGGAATGATGCCTATTTATACTTAGGCTACTGCGCCTATTCAAAACCCATCAGCCATCCAAGCTGGATCTCATCCAATCATCAGTCATCTGTGTTACTGATTTCATTTCTCTACGTTCATCCCAAACAATGAAATTTATTTTGACCCATCATTGGCACAATTTGCCAGCCAGTCATATATAAACTTCTATTATAAAAGTACTTGAGTATTCTCAGCCTTAGTCATTGGTACTCAAACTCAGGGGCAGCAAAATCATCATCATATGGTTGATATAGGAAACTTGGCTTTCCGCCAGAAAATCCCACAATGGCCCAATGATTGGTGGTCAGCGTAGAACTAGAATTCCGCAAACCTGATCATTTAGTAATTAATTGGTCAACATCCTCAGCATTAGTCAATGGTGTTGACCTTTAAATAACTTTACTATCAGGGATTATCCCCAATCTTTAAAAGGGCTCAACTCACCCAAGAGGGAGCACCAATTGGCAAATAATATATAAAACTTATTGAACTAGGAGATTAGCTGAAAATCACGACCAACTATTGAAACCCCTAATTCTGATTTTATTGGGAGGAATCTATCTGGTTAATTTTATGACATTTCACTCCAATTAACCAGATGGTATTCCTCCTTTGCGACCCACCCTGTTGGTGGGCCATGAACACCTCAGCGTTCCCTCTAAGGAGCGCCAGGTCTGAACCAGTATCTCTCACCACATCCTAACCTGTCCTCCAAAAACTCGAGCAGCCCACCAATGAAGCCCCCTCTGGTGAACATCACTGTCAAAAATCGAATTTTCTGGTGACAGCGGGCCCTGCTGGTCAGCAGGCCAACCAGTATGAAGACTGGCTGACCCTTGCCATTTTGCTTAGATGACCAGGCCAGCAGCGCCAGCTGACCCTAGGCGTGTCACCCATGCCATTTGGGGATCCCCCAGCCTAAACTCCAACCAACGAAATAAATATAAACTTATAGCAAAAGTTAGATTGGGCAAAGGGAGATATTTATTGAAAGGGAAGCATCAGGTATTTATAGGTACATAGGGCTACCATGCGCATTGCCAACCTAAAAGATCCTCGCAGGATCTTCTAGCCAACCATTCTCTCTTCCTTTCTGCTTCACTTCTCATTTCCCTGGTGTTTGCCCTCTCGCCCCATCCTTCCAGATGTTTATGTATTAGTTTTGGCTTCATCCTAAGCCTTCAGGCGCTGGTGAGCTTTACAATTATTAAATATATGTAGATATTAAATTTAAAGCAACTTAGTAATTGTGCACTGAAAACATACTCAACCTCTTGGTAATCTTGAAATAACTTGGCTTCTTACCAACAGCTTTTTAACTCTCCGTACTCAATCATATGTGGTACGCCTTTTTCAGGCAATATTTGACAATTGATATTAGCTTCTGGAAACAACCTTGCCACCTCTAACTTGGAATCTTTGGCTTCCGCTGACATATGCTAGATCATTATAAATGATCATCCTCATTAACTAGTTGCCAGTGATTTGTATAAAATTTTGGGTAATTTACTGGCCCTGATTAAACATAACTCCCAATTTTGGCAGAATGCTGATTCTTCTCAATCCAATTTGGTGACAATTATCAAGTAATCTCATAGTACACCACAAAATTAAGTTGATGAGCCAATCCACCAAGAATTGACATTTCTCATAGATAATGGAAAATCATTTGAGGACTCCATCTGGTTAAATTCTGACATTTCCCTCAACTTAAACAGATGGCATTCCTCCTACTACCAGCCTTGGCATATGGGGCGGGCGTCCAGGGCTTGACCCTCCCCAAGACAACAATTGCCAGAATCTAACCTCTGCTTTCAGGTCAAACCAGCTTGCTCTTCTCCTCCCTGACCAAACTGGAAGCACCTTATCCTACCTCCTCCCCACCCTGTCAGCTACTCCAGCACCAACCAGAAGACCCTCTGTAGTGAGCGTTACTGTTGGAAAATCACCTTTTCCGGTGACAGTGAACTCTGCTGGTTGGAAGATCAACCAGTATGAAAACTAGCTAACCCTTGCCGTTTCGCCTTAGTTGATGGGTCCAGAAGCACTGGATAACCCTTTGGCGTGTGTAAGTCTGGGGGAGCGCCCCCTCCGCTTAGATTGGGTGACATTCTCATTCACATCAAAAAGGCTAAGAAGGCAAGCTGCCCCTCTCATCTCCCAGGGTGACTCACTCATGTGGTTAATGAGCGTTGGGTAACAGCTTACCCTTTAAGGACCCCGCCTTCCATCTCAGTATTGAATTCAGCCAAATAAGTATAATTAATCAAGGGAAATTGTGCCAATTTAAAAGGAAGTTGGAATCCATATGGGGATAAAGGTTTGAATGAAGTTGATGGCAACAAGGTTTTAGCATCTAGGACTGAGAGCCCCAAACCCTCAGCAACAAGCCTAATGGACGCATACTTTCAGCAAAAACAGCGTCTAGTGTCAAATTGTTGGAAAAGCTTGCCTATGGCACTAGGCCATTGGGAAATGTTGCTGCTAGCTCAAAACAAAATCCAAAAGCATTAAAATCCCCATTCAACATTTCTCGCTTGGCCAAACAAATGAAGGAGTGACAGGGTGCGGGTGGGTTGGATGCCCTGAACTGGTTCCTGACCTCATGGGACCGCCAATATGTGGGGTGGCTTTGGGAGGTTCCCGCTGCCTGGTGGGCGAGATGCTGTCGCTCTAGTCTCCAAAACTGAAGAAAATTGGCAATTTAGGCATCTGTGGATGAACTAACAGTGAACTGGCCCACCATCAACACTTAATAGTTGTTTTAAATTAAGTTCGTTTTTCCCCTGGCTCAAAGTTTTCCAGGATAGGCCAAATCTTGAGGTCCCAAACCTGCGCTTTCCTAAGCTATTCCTCAAAAACTGATCATCTATCCAAGCAGACATAACACACTGAGAATTTGAAGGTCAATTCTCTTATTTTTAATACAATAAAGATCTTTCCATGCTTAAATTTATTTAATGCTCACATTTTTCTCGCCAAACCCCATAACATCTGCAATGAAGCCCCATGTCCCAAGTATAAACTGAATTTTTCAGTAATATTAATAGCTTAAATCCTCTAAATTAGTCACCTGGGTCTTTTGTGTCAAGGGCTTTATGGATCTTATTCCAATTTTTCAACTCCCATTGCCTCAGTCTTTGGCTCTGGGTTTGCAATAGCCTGGTTCTTCACTGGGTTTGTTTTTACATTTGCAGCCCATCAGTCCTCTGTTGTTGCTCATCTCTCAGCCTATTACAACATTCCTGAGTGGCAATGCCCCTGGAATTCTGGATCGCCTTTTAGATTCTTTTTCATACTGAATGGCAGGCCATTCTAAACTTTATGTGCAGTCTCCCTGACATAATCAACCGTCCATTGTTTTCAGCCATTTCTTCCCTTCTTTAGGAGGCGGGCGACGCAATGGTTACCATAATCCATATGAATGTTCAGTCAGTAGCCTGTCTTCTGTTGTTTGTCTTGTCA